AAAAAGCAAGTTAGCAGAGATTGCACATATGTGCTAGAGATATGGCAGGTCGTATTCCCAAGATCCCACAAACTTGCTTAAATCAGTAGCATTTGGAAAGAACAATTTCTATTTGCAAAAGAAAAAAATTTTGAAGTGTACCAACGGTCAACACAAAAACTAGACACTTTATCCGTCAATTATCTACCGAAGATTGTGCATGAGTTTTTCTATGTTCATGAAGAAATTCACTCAATTGGCAATACAAAATGGTTGCCAAAACATCGAATCTCTCAAGGAAAATTCCTCATTCGGTTGTTTTAGTTCATGAAATGGTCCTACATCAAGAATAGATCAAATGGGTCTTGAAATAGTTTAAATCTTCTTGTAGATTCTCGAATTGTTTCAGGAACGGATTTCGCCACTTCCACAATGCTTAGGTACTGTGATAGGTAAAAAGAATAGAAAATCATTATTGGAAAGGCCTGTACACGTTATCGAGCACATATTTCATATTGCGAAACAATTTAGACATGAGGTCAGCGGGGTAGGCATTCATGCTAAAAGGACCAAACGTCTCCACCTCAGGAAGATAAAGTCTAGCCCAATCTCCAGATGCTATGTCACGATAATGCCTAAATGAGCAGTTGAGTTAGCATCAGTTTCCAGAATAAAAAAGAGGATGATAAACGACCTGATCACAGCGTCCGTGGCAGGTACTTCATAGCCTTCAAAGGTAGGAAAGTATATTTCCACATGATGCACCCACATCAAGAAGACCTAGAGGTCACATATCACATATTTTGAGATTTAAGCTGTGCAGAACAAACCCTATCGGGGTCCACTGCACATTTGGCTGTATGACCTATAGGCGCAGGAGACGATGTGTTTCGATAGACAAGCGTAGGAAGATGTCTGATCAGTGTCTTTGTTCCCTGAGATGATAGCAAATATATGTCTCATCTCACTTATGGCTTTTTGTAGTTGTAGGACCTCGTAAATGTTCGGATTGGCACCAGTTTTCAAAATCCACTGCGTGACAAATCGCATCATTCCGCATGCGGGCCGACTTTTCATCTCATTTCTGCAAAAGACAATGCTACTTTCTCAATATCTAAAATATTTTTCTGGATAAAAGTAGCTTTTACCTTTTTCAGTTGGCAAGGAAAACGAAACTAACGAGATGAGCTGTTTGAGTGTCAAATTTCTGAGTGGCAGTATTCTCTCATCCAGGTCAGCAAAAATTACGTATCGAGAATGTTGCCTACTGCGATGTATACAGTCCTAAGTACGAAGACTTTTGGTCACTACTTCTCAATCTCTATTGTTACACTCCATGCCTGTGTGCCTACTAAGTGCCATTCAATACTCGGTCGATCCTGCTCTTCTCTGAAGTATATGATTTCAGCTTCACCATTCTTCTCATAGTGTAGTAATAGCTAAAATAATCAAATTTTTTTAGACATGAATTTTTCTCTCACGAATCGTACAGCTCGTAATTCATGTTTAGAGAGATTATAAAAGCACTGTCCTTCTTTTGAGCTGCAGTAGTTTAAAGAAATTGTATATGTTGTAGCTGGTATCTGTCACCGGAAAGTACCCACCAAATTTTCTGTTTAACCCGTTTTTTGCTTTTTGAGATTCTCAAAATTACCTTTTTTGTATAATTATCCAAATCCTTCACATACACATAGAAATGCTGAACACCCTGCAACTTATAATGCTCTACAAATTCAGCAAAAAGCAGAAATTTTGTATCCATCCCGTACATCGGCTTCACGCACATAGATAAGTTGTATTTGAAATCTGAAAAACTGCTGATGTATGCATTCAATCGGAAGGAATTGGAAGACTGTAAGGCACGGACAGATGGCTTCGAACGCTATGAACTTTGTAGCTTACGCCAAGCGAAGCCTGCGGTAGATTATAGAACTAAAGATTACGTTTATCTGTTCTGCCCACTACTGGGACCATGTCGACAATGTCATCAGAAATGTTTTCGGTGATGCTCATGTAGTATGCTCCTTTTCGTTTGCAGCAATATGTAGTGAATTCTGGAAATACCACAGACATAGTTGCCGGCGTGAGTTCCATTCTGTCCACATCCAAAAATCGGCAATAAACAACTTTTCTGGATAAAAAATGAGCTAGGTGCTGCGACGAAGAAAAAGAACTTTTTAACAAGGCTTACTTACCCATATCGACCATCTGCTTCAGTGGTGACAACAGAGTAATTCTCGTAATCGTATGCACCCACTAACGAAAATGTCGTCAGCTGTGCTTGGTTGCGCTTGCCCGTCTTCAGCAATAAATGTTTTTCAATCAGGCTGTAGAATGGAACGCATGAACTGATATGATTGCTGAGTGGATTTCTGGAGGTTTTTTCTGAAAATTTATATTGGTGTTTTTTTT